TGGACATCTCATCAAGTTTGCAAAGTGATTGTCAGTTGTGTGTAATTGTGAAACAAGTAAAAGACTGTAAAACCAGTGAAAGACTGTAAAACCTATCATGATAAATCCATGTCTCCATGTAAAGTCTGAGAATTCTCAGAATGAATAAAGATATCCTACAAACCAACACTTGTCATTTTTTAAAACTTCTGTAGGCAGAGTGGGAAGACACCATAGAATTAACCAGCTAACTAGTCAAGTTCATTTTAGCAGGGGTAGAACAGATCAGATCGGTGTATTCACTTCCTGATCACTGGACCGTATCATGTCGTTTTAACCTGTAGGCAGTATGGGAATACACCATAGCGTTGTGCAGTTTATGTAATGCGACGAACTGGTTGACTCTTTGAGACAAGCATATGATTATTGGCAGGATCAGACCAGATGGGCGTCACCTTTTTCTGGGGAATGCCGATCTGAAGTTCCGGTCTATTTCTAGGACGGTACGGCACTGCACTGAAGTAATTTACGTTACTTTAGTAGCATGGTTCGCGCCATTAATTCAGACGAGTAGCTTACGGTATCCGATGGAGTGGTTTTCAATATCTATTAAAAGGTTGTCTGAGTCAGAATCGATTACTTTCAAACAACTGTAATAACCGTATCACTGCCCAGTGGGGCGTTAAAGGAAACGTTTGAAATAGGACACGATCAGCCGCTCCTTGAGTCGATGATGAATATTGATAGGACTGCAGTTCTTCAAGCTGTCTAACCTGGATAAATTCCAATGTTTTTGGTTTCGTTTGCTTCCAATTACTTTTCTTGCAGGAAAAACACAAGGCTGCACTGAGGGTACGGCAGACAAAGAGGCCAAACATCAGAATATTATTTTGATGACGTCTGCTTGTTCCTAGAACATCCTCATGTAAGATTTACTTGCAATAGGTTTTAAATGTATTTTGACAATTGCCTGCACTGCTTTAACAAAGGACTAAACTAAGATAAGGATAGCCTTCGCACGCAAGCCTGGGTTCATTTCCCCACGTATGCCACTTAAGTGAAGAAGCCCTATTTGGGTGTCCCAATTCACTAAATGGTATATCTAATAAGATGCTCTGAACTCGAAAAACCGTCGTTACGCCACAGCAAAAGCTACCCAGTGTCAGTAATCCACAAAGAAAAGATGCGTTTTGCTATGGCACCGAAAGACTGTTGTCAGGGGACTTTTTAAAGCATTGGCAAGGATCCACGATGTGGAGATGACTCCCCGGCTAAAGAATTTGTAAGTTTCCCAAAGGAGATTCTATTGCATTACAACGGAAACGTTCACAATAAGCAAATGTTTAGAATACTGGGTATCAAGCTTCTGATATCTGATACATAACGTACCAGACACAGCAAGTCTCGTGATAATATGTAAATGGATATACAGTCGAGCACCGTTGTGTCGATATCTGATTACTCGATATGTCTGTTGTCTCGATATATAACATCTCGGTCCCGGCAAAATCCTTCATAATTTATCATTATTCAAGCTTTTTAAACTCGATACGGATATCTCGATATTTCGGATATCTCGATATAATTTCATGGTCCCAACAAGCAAAATTACCCTTTTAACTCGATATTTGCAAAGAAACTCGATATTCACCTACCTTTCATAGGCAAGTATCCCTCTGAACTGAGGTTGTTTCCACACGTTTACACACGGTGGGGCATGAATAAAAGGGATGCGGTAGTGTAAACTAATTAGGGTTAATTGAGTTGAAGGTGTCACTTGTTTGTTATTTAATATGGATCGACTAAGAAGGAATTAATTAGGAAGTACTCACTGTTACGACTCAACACTACTGATAACGGATTATAGTTTCAAATCAAAACATGCTGAGAATCCAATGAGGGTTTTGTCCAAACACGTGACTAGCGTGTGATTGTTGAGTTGTTTCTAAATTGTGGACTGAGAAACATGGATTTGAAAGCTATTGTGTTGTATCGAGAGTGGTTAGCTACTATCGCTTTCATGCCACCACCAAATGCCCGTCAACCTAAACTTTCAGAACTCCGTTCGTCCGTTGACTAAATCCAACCTTTGTATAATTCAAGATGGACACTATAACATAAGCTGCGATCCCCGTGAGTAAATAAATATATATACATGAAATAAACAGACATGAAATCTACTTTTTGTTGTGTTTTCTTTCATAGTGATATGTGATGATATGCCCTGGTCGGATGTCTCGAAGTTCGGATAACTCGATATTTTTTCTTGGTCCCATGAATATCGAGACAACGGTGCTCCACTGTATATATTCCCTTTGGAGGTTCTTTCCGTGGGAAGCAATATCACAGAAAAATACTGTTCTATTGGCTGTTATTCTGTGTGTACTGCGGCTTTCAGGAATGCAAAGAATATTAAAGCTTACATGTACGTACTTATTGCTGTGCGCGAAAGTTAAAGCCTAAAGTTACTTTTTGGAAAGTATGTGATCCATACACACTCCACAGAATTGATGACATCCGTGTTGTAGGATTCCGAGTCTGTCATCATGGTGGACAAACATTGAATAGAGCATATTCTGTTGCACGTCTGAAGCAATTTATGGGTATGAAGCTGAGGAAACGTGGCCCTTCATCAGTCGTTGCCCTACAATCAACGAGTATGGCCAATATTTTGTGCTAGTGTTATATATTGAGTGATGTGCTAAATTTAAACTTGTGCCATATTTAGACAGAGTTCAAGAAAGTACTACAGCCATATGAATAAAGCCACAGGCAGAACCAAAACCATTTTTGGACAGCCAAAAACCCGTTGGCAAAAAACGTGGAAGAGGACTGTCGTTTTATAACATATACTGAACCACAAAAGAAACGTCGCTTTTCACAACCAAATGCAATATTTTGTTCTTACGAAATGGTGTTTTTATTATGATTGTATCGTTTTGTTCACATGTTTTTCAATCCAAACTGACAGTTACTGCCAACATCAGTGTGTTTTCTGATGAAAAAGTATTTCAACCAAACGCACCTAAAGAGGCAGACGTGGTAAAAGGTTCCCTTTTGACATTCATGAAAATGAAAATGCACGTGGATATTGTGACAACCCTAAACATAAAAGCGAGTGACAAATTCCCCTGAAATAATTTTTGTTTTGACATAATCGCGATGGCACGACCTACGAGAGATCAGAGGAACCAAGTCTTTGGACGATTGCAAGTTGGCCAGTCTGTACCGAGAGAAGCCAATCATTTTAATGTTCATGTTAGAACAATCTACCGACTGCAGGAGCGGTATCAGGTCACTAACAGCATCCAAGACCGACCACGCAGTTGGCGACCTTCAGTAACATCATAACATCATTGTGCGCCACCATCGGCAGGATCGCTTACAACAGACCCATAAGTGCCGATACTGTGCGTCGACGTTTGCGCGGAAGAGACGTCTTCTGTCTCAGACCATATCGTAGACCAAAACCGACTGCAATAGGCAACTCAGCATCGAAATTGGTATTATGGTTTAAACATATTTATTCATTTAATCATAACTGAATTGGCGTTATCAACAATGGAGAACTGTGCTGTGTTCTCATGAAAGACGATACTGTGTTTCGACAGTCGATGGTAGAGTGAGAGCGTGGTGAAGGCGTGGGGAACTGTTTCCAAATGAATGTATTGTTGAAAGAGACTCGTGGGGTGGTCCAAGCATCATGGTGTGGGTTGCAATCGGTCTGAACCAGTTAGTTGACCCCATGGTCTTCCAGAATCTCGTTCCAGGATGAGGAAATGACGTGACAGCTGCTCGCTATTTTGACCAAGTCATAAGACCCCACGTTGTACCACATTTTGGACGTTACAGAAATCACATCTTCCAGCAAGATAACGCTCGTGCCCACACTGCCAGAGCAACATTGGACTTCCTAAGACAACATGGCATCCAAACCCAACAATAGTCTGCACTCAAACCGGATTTTAGTCCAATAGAAAACCTTTGGGACGAGATTCAAAGAAGACTGAATGACCTCCATCCAAGGCCGACAACTGCTGCTGGACTCGATCAGGAATTTCGCAGGGTATGAACCCAAGTGCCTACATCAACCGGCTAATTCATTCCATACACAGACGATTTAACGCCTGCATCGATGCCCATAGAGGCCACACACAATACTGACTTTGGGGTATCTTAATGGTACCAGTTGTGGTGATTTTGTTTGTGTGAACTCTAAATGTGCTTCCCAAATATGTGTTCACCATACTTAATGCATTTTTCACTATTGATTACGCGCAATCTTCAAACATTGAAGATGTTATATTATAAAAGGACCGAAGTCATGAAACTACAACGTTCCCTCGAGACTCCAGATTTCTCCGCGCAGGACACCCGCACAGGACACCCGCACAGGACACCCGAGCAGGACACCCATCCGTCAAGTGAGAGGCCTTCAGTCAAGTCACCTTGACTCAACTGTCTAATGTAAACAAAAACGATTTTATATGGATAGACAACGTCTTTATTCCAAACATTGCATCCACTGCAATAAGAATTATTCCTGTTCATCATACATAAATGTGACTCAAAGAAATGTCCAGTGAACGTTTACCGTAATAGATCAACTACATAGGGTAGCGGCGTAAAACTAAACTCACTCACTCACTGACATAGGGTAGAGACGGTATCCTGATAAACTAAACTTATCAATACACGATTTTAAACAACAGCAACATGTTCCCAACAGTCATATCTGTGTAGAATACAGGTAATGTTGAAAGTCATAAAATGTAGAAACAAATTCAATTACAAAGTCCATGGCAGAACGTGCATTTGAGTAAAATAATCGTCAATCTGGGACGAACTATAACCCCAAAATCTTTTCCCAACATACATTATCCTAAGGTTCAAAATCTTCTGTGTGAGGAAGATTAATGATTAACCGATAAAGCTGATATTGTCAACTTGATGAGACAAACATAAAGCTGATGTATGTCAGCCGTAACTAGAAACAGGTGCACTGAGAAGGGAACTGGACACATGACCCTCTATGTATCATTTCATCAGATACAGCATGCATGTAATTGTCAGAAGCGACATGTTCTATATGACCCCCCAGGTGCACTTTCGTTGGTAGTGATCATAACGGTCATTGTAGAAATGTTTGTTCTCAGTTACATCAAGCCACGTGATTGTCTGAGTGTAGCACCCGTTGAGTCTGGTGTCTGTTTCAAATGATCTACATACATACGTTGAAGCTTCATTGCATAATTGAACACATTGTGCTACAGTATATGAGGAGGGGTTTGACTCTATATCTTCTTTCCAAATAACCTGTCCTGGGAAATGGATGTATTCTGTTCCGAAGGTGGTACACTCTGAAACAACGATGGATTGTTTGTTAGACACTGTCTGATCATCGACTATCTCACAAACGTCATTAAGAACCTGTTCGCAAGTAACCCGTGCTGGAATAATGCTGAGTGCGGCGTTAAACATCTAACAAATCCATTGCTTGTTAGCTTTCTTTGTATTTCGGGGTTTCGGGGTTTCTCATATTACCAATATTGTATTGTCAACAGTACCCGATAAATCAGGGGATGCGTTTCAACCATGTTCTGGATACTCGGTGAATACACAATGTCATTTAGAAAGTGGTCAAATGTAACACATGCTAGATTTGGGTTTACACTTTCTCAGTAAAGTACTGATTCCAGTGATTTTGTTGGTCAGGGATTGGTAGTCACGCCATCTAACCCATTTAGCCACCTCGGCTTCCACTAAAGTACTGTTCTGTTCTACTGAACATGGTGAATCCGACCGTAAGGGCCATAATCTCATAATCTGATTCCAGTGATTTTGTTGGTCAGGGATTGGTAGTCACGCTCTCAGAGTCAGGCACCCAATCGCAAAAACACAGTGTCAGCCATCTACCCACTCAGCCACCTCGGCTTCCACTAAAGTACTGTTCCGTTCTACTGAACATGGTGAATCCGACTGTGAGGGCCATAATCTCACCGAGTAAAAGGCAAGTCAGCAAATGGAATCTTAAGAATGTGCTTATGACACCAATCCTCCAAATACTGTAAAGTAATGCAACGATACCTCTTAAGTCCCTGCAAACTGCTCTAGCAACATCCAGATCGTATCCTATACTACATGTACAGAAACCAGCACGGCAACTTGTAGTTGGAAATGAAGCGCAGTCGGCGTCCCCCGAACATGAGCCATCGGCTGAAACATAACCACAAGTTATACTACATCATGGGAACTCCAAACATTGGGCCATTAGCACTGTTTGGAATATGGATCGAGTGTTTAGGGCACAAGCTTCACCGCGTATGTATGACTGGTTAATTTCATTGAGATTTTAATCTCCGATACGATGTTGGTTGAGGTGAAAATCTGAAATACTTCTAAACTGTTACCTGTAGCTGTTGTTGAAGTGTCGCTTATTTGAACAGTGTTAGCTGTTGTTGAAGTGTCGCTACCTTGAACGAGGTTATTGTTAGCTGTTGTTGAAGTGTCGCTTGCTTGAGCAAGGTTACTGTTAGCTGTTGTTGAAGTGTCGCTTGCTTGAGCAAGGTTACTGTTAGCTGTTGTTGACGTGTCGCTTGTTTGAACAGTGTTACTGTTAGCTGTTGTTGAAGTGTCGCTTGCTTGAGCAAGGTTACTGTTAGCTGTTGTTGAGGTGTCGCTTGCTTGAGCAAAGTTACTGTTAGCTGTTGTTGAAGTGTCGCTTATTTGAACAAGGTAACTGTTAGCTGTTGTTGACGTGTCGCTTGCTTGAGCAAGGTTACTGTTGGCTGTTGTGGACGTGTCGCTTGCTTGAGCAGTGTTACTGTTAACTGTTGTTGCAGAATCGCTAGCTTGAACGAGGTTATTGTTAGCTGTTGTTGACATGTCGCTTGTTTGAACAGTGTGTCTGTTAGCTGTTGTTGACGTGTCGCTTGCTTGAGCAAGGTTACTGTTAGCTGTTGTTGACGTGTCGCTTGTTTGAACGAGGTTATTGTTAGCTGTTGTTGAAGTGTCGCTTATTTGAACAAGGTAACTGTTAGCTGTTGTTGACGTGTCGCTTGCTTGAGCAAGGTTACTGTTAGCTGTTGTTGACGTGTCGTTTGTTTGAACTAGGTTACTGTTAGCTGTTGTTGACGTGTCGCTTGTTTGAACGACGTTATTGTTAGCTGTTGTTGACGTGTCGCTTGTTTGAACGAGGTTACTGTTAGCTGTTGTTGACGTGTCGCTTGTTTGAACGAGGTTACTGTTAGCTGTTCTTGACGTGTCGCTTGTTTGAACGAGGTTATTGTTAGCTGTTGTTGACGTGTCGCTTGCTTGAGCAGTGTTACTGTTAGCTGTTGTTGACGTGTCGCTTGTTTGCACGAGGTTACTGTTAGCTGTTGTTGAAGAATCGCTATCTTGAGCGAGGTTATTGTTAGCTGTTATGGAAGTGACAGTTGCTTGAACAAGGGTATTGCTAGCTGTTGTGGAAGTCTCGCTTGTTTGAACGGTGTCCTGACTAGTATGGGTGATGGAAGCCTCGCTACTAGCGTCAATGTCAGTGATGGAAAGGACACTTGAAAGAGTTGATATTTGCTGGTCAGATGGATCGGTCCGCAGGCATATGTGTGATGTAGATCCCGTCACTGGGACACAGATGTGCTCGACAGTGCAAGGATGATCTGAACAAGGATGAGCCTGTTAGAGAAGCAGAGCAATGAATTATAATTAGATCTCAGTGTAGCTGATGCTCACCTTCTTTCTGAAGCACAATTTTTACATTTGGAGGTTTGTAATGCTACACCAACACCTTTCTTACTGCACAAGGTGGCTTGTGAATATTCGAGTGAGTATGGTTTTGCGCCGCTTTTAGCAATATCCCAGCAATATCACAGCAGGGGACACCAGAAATGAGTGAGTGAGTGAGTTAATATTTAACGTCACATCGGCAATATGTCAGCCATATCGTGACGAAAACATATTTGACATTTAAATAGAATATATGTATATGTTAAAAACCTGTCTGCGAAGGACAGTAAAACAACTAGAATATCACAATTACAACTAAAACTAGTTTGGAAAGTTAAAACTAATAGCACTATTTGGACAATTACAATATAAAACCTGGCTATAGATCGCCAACAACTGAAGGTAGATCACCAACTTAGGGACCACGGGGACTTACATTACTTTTGCTACCTGCGTGGACCCTAGCTGGATTTATATCATCCTTCAGCCGCTGGCGATTGAAGTCAAATTGAGCCAAAATTAAAATGACAAGAATACTACATTTAAAACAGCTGGTAAACTTAAATTTCCTTTGAATGTTTCAGGACTTACGTACCCTCTCAGGAGGACAAAAATTTGACGCTACTTCAACCCCCTTTGAGGGTACAACACCAGTCTGACCACACGTTCCTAATGAGTCGTTTCTTACAACACCTTGCCAGTGGTTTATCCTCAACTCGAGTTCATGCTCCGGTGGAGTGGACCATTAGTGGACTGCTGTTTTACATTAAGAACATATCTTGTGCGGAAATGAGGGAAAATACAGCACTCAAGAATAACATCCCTTTTCTTTGTGCTTTACCGTGCACTTGACGTGTTTTCAAAACAGTGTGTTCTTGAGAAGGACATCTGAAGCGCAGACATTACCTTTGCGCGCATTATTCTAACTCTTAAGGCTATTGTGTGGAAACACTACGTACACTTGTTAATCTTAACTATTGTTGCATGTAAAATTGTTCCTCAATGGCACATTTACGAGGGAAAGGATCCACCCACCAGAAAGGAAAGGACCTACAAGTATCTATTCCTGTGAAGATTCGGCTTCAAATTGGGCTTCAAATCCATACAGTAAACCCAAACGGGAAAGGATTTTCAATCTCTCTTTGCACTCAGCAATATTCCAGCTATATGGCGGCGGTCAGACATGAGAGGCAGATAAGACATGACAAGCAGATGTCCGAGTGACATCTAACAAGTATCATTCTTACCTGTAAAGGATTGACGTGAACAGCCAGGTAAATATTAGAGTGAGACACCTGTAAAGATTGCTCGTCACCACCACGTGAATTCAGTTGACATTCTTTAGCCCTTGTGATCCAGTTTGCCGAAACACATCTTGATGAATAGAGGCACAGCCTGCGGCATTGTATCAGGGTCGTCTTGGAAAACACTTCAAATACTGCACCATTGAGGATTTTATCTTGAACAGCATTATTTGATAACAGTCCCAGTTTATCACTCTTACACGTGGTGAAACAATATGAAATAAATACCAATGTGACGATAACAACTGTACCCATTTCTTCAGAACCTGGAGTAAAGTCTCTTCTGGCTGATGCCGGGCGAAGCGTTAAAGCAATGATGAGATACTAAAATGTTTTGATCAGTCACACATGTATTAATCAATAGTAAGCATCAAACGCTGGGGTTGAGAAGAAAGGGGAACGTCCAACACCTGCAGTCAGCACTATTCATGAGGTCTGCTCTTATGACAAACATGACGTTATTGGATGTTTTGAAGACCGAAGATAAATCTATAAGTATCATTACATGCAAAAGCCTAACATCCATAGTACATCAAAGGTCATTCGTGAGCTGCGGTAGAGCATGTTATATAGTTGTATTGTCCTTTGAAAGACGATAGTGATATTGAGAACTTACCTTTGATAGATACTGTACATTTGAAACCGGTCTGAAATTCATTATGGTTCAAGTGAGTCGTGTGGATTAGGAGCTGTAGGAACTCTGCTTGAATAGGTGAGGGAGCGTGTTATTCATCAAGCTGTAACAGACCTGTGAAGATCAGGGGGTTAGAATTGATCTTCAGTAACCCATAAAAGGCGACTAACGGGATCGAGTGGTCAGGCTCTCTGATTTGGTTGACACATGTAATCATATACCCTATTCCGTAGATCGATGTTCATGCTGTTGATCACTGAATTGTCTGGTTCAGACTCGATTATTTACAGACCGCCGCCATATAGCTGCAATAATGCTGAGTGCGGCGTAAAACTAAACTCACCAACTCACTCAAGCTGTAACAATACTTATTTGGCCCATAATGTTAAAGTTTCCTAAAATATCAGACACACTCATACTCACGTGCATGTACGTCGCTGTATATACTGGCTTTGTGTTACTAAGTACGTTTTACGGCTTTTGGCACTGTTAAAACTGTTATTAGCAACAGCATATCTCCGATGGCTGGGTTCCAACCTCATGTTTTCAAAACGCAGAGACGCAATATATCGATGAAACTTTGAACATCTCTGATGATAAGACAGTAGCATGAATGTAAACTTTGGTCCTATATCAGCACAGTTTAAAAACCGCGATCCTTCACATTCACAATGCCACTGTTGACCAACGCCAGCAGGAAGCAAGGCTGTCATTCACATTCACAATGCCACGCTGGACCAACGCCAGTAGGAAGGAAGGCTGTCATTCACATTCACATTGCCACTATTGGCCGACGCCAGCTGGAAGTGAGTGAGCTAAGATTTATAGTCACATCGGCAATATTTCAGCCATATCTAGTAAAATAGCTAGATTATCACAGATACAAACGCAAAAACCAGTAATCAAATCTAAACATTTTAACTATAGAGGACAACACAATATCAAATCAGGCTGTAGATCGCCAACAACTGAAAGTAGATCACCATACTAGGGACCATGGGGACTTACAATGCCTTTGCTACCTGCATGGACCCTAGTTGGATATACACCATCCCTTCAGCCCCTGGTGATTGTATGAAAATTTTGCCCAATTTTAAAAGAACAAAAATACTACGTTTAAAAATCTGGTAAGCTTAAATTTAACTTTGAGAGTTTGGGGACTTACGTATCCCCAGGAGGACAGTAATTTTACGACACTTTAACCCCCTTTGAGGGTAGAGCCACTAACAATCGCAGTTGCTAATTTGTACTAACCACTTATCTATTTACAAAACATATGATTCAAAAGTTATCTAATAATTCTATTTCCTTTAAAAATTCACTTATTAAATGATAATTAACATAAAAAGATCTTTAACTGTTTTGATATTGAAATCTTTATCCCTTGTGATGGAAAAGGAATACAGTCAAGCCAGCTGGAAGCAAGGCTGTCATTCACATTCACATTACCACGGTACCATAAAGTTAAAAAACCATTGCTATTGTCCTGATAAGCGTTAT